AATTTATTTCATTCGTGATACGCAAATGGTTATCGGATTTAGTTTCAAGACATTACAGCGTAGCAAAATTAAACATATAAGAAGCTGTCACTTAGAATAATCTTGGAGAGTCTTACCTTAGCATCACTCTGTGGAACTAGGTAATCACTACATCTTGGAGCACAATTCTATAACTAGCATTATTTGATAGCTAGGTTTGATTGCCTAGCTGCAGCAAACATTTTCAAGACAATCTTACTATACCTGTAATTTTTGGAAGAATAGTTTTTTCAATCACTTTAGGCAAAACTTCTTGATCGGTATCATCATCCCTTTTTGGTTCAGATACATTTTTGGCATCACTGAATTCTTCTATAGCTCTGAACCAGGGCATCTCTTCCAACTTCATAAAATTCTGCTGAAAAATCATTCCTATTAGTTTTCCAGCCGGTCAGGACAGAGAAAAGCTCCATGCAAAAATACACCCAGTGATACCACAAAGATTCTCACTTAATTTCAGATCCCCCCTCATCACTGAATGGACCAAAACAGCCAATCAGGAAAACTATATTTAAAGCTAGAATTTAAATGGTGGGATTGTCAAAACGTCTTCAAAGAACTCAGAAGAATTCTTTTCACAGGGAGTGTTGCAAAAGAGACTGTAGGTAAGGGCAAAGGAGAAAGTTAGAAGATTCCAACCACATCCTTCAACTTCTGAGACCAACACAATGACTTTTTATTCATTTCTAGTGCACTGTGCTATGCACAGAAAGAACCACATATCATTTTTCATATTAATACAGATTAAAATGATTCATATACAAAAGTGACTTGAGAAGAAGAAATGGACCTTCTCCTTCTAGTTAACGTACTTATCCTGGGCTCTGGAACATCCCTACAACCCACGTAACAAAATTCCCATGGAGAAGTCTTCCCTGCAGATAGTGTGCCTCTGCTCAGACACACTTTGGGCTGCCAGAAATACTCACAAAAATTGCCAATTAACAAAGACAATTAAGGCAGAAAAGGCATGTTCACAAAGACGGTACAGACAGAAACATAACAGGCTTTACCAGCTATAGCCTACTGCTTCAGATTAATACCCAGAAGCAAAAGGGTTGCCAGTGTATTAATACACAAACACACATGAAATTTTTGAAGAAAACAAAGTCAGCCGATGCACCTACCTCAAGAGGATTCCAATCTATTAACTGAACTCTGATCAATGGATTTAACAGCTTAGGCAGGCAGAAACTGATATAAGCATCACAGTAAGAGTCAGGAAACTTCTCTTTCCATTCCTGGAATTTCAACAGGATTTTTCTGATGTCACAAAAATCTGCATGTACATCTTCAAAGATTTTCCTACTATCCTCTAAAACGTTATCTATGGATAATATTCATTGGGAATAAAAAGAAACAATCACAGAACTTATTGAGGCATAAGCTAAGGAGTTTATGCATCTATAGGACACAAATGACAAATGCAATTATGATACAGACATTTATCTTTGACACACCTGACACTGAAGCTGATTTTAAAACCAGCTCCCTGGAAAACCCAGTTTCAGAAAAAAAAAAAACTGTCAGAAAGCCAAAAAAGGCAAGTTTCATCATGATCTGTTCCACAGGTTTATACAACCACTATGTTTCAAACTTTATTCCATGGTGATACAACTTCAGACATGAAAACTCTTCTGCTGTTATCTGGGGAAAAGGTATCATGCCTTTCACTGCTCCTTTGCATCCATTCAATCAAGATAATTAAAACACCAATCTTTAATTCACTCTCTCTTCAGAAAACAAATTGATTTTACAAAACACATAGGATTGCATTGAGTACCGTCAGATCAGCTCTGGCATAATCTAAAAGAGGTTATTTCCAGTTGAAAGAGTCACATGTAATGGCACGACACCATAACTCATATCAAAAGAAATCTACACCCATACATCTATTCTTCCCAAGTCACTAGTCAGAACTGTTTGAATGCCTTTTTTTTTCCTGCAGTATGCAACTAAGAACATGTATTGCAAATGAAGCATCTCTTCACCTTTCCTAAAAAACAATGTATCCTTAAAAAAATATCAGAAAGATATTTTGTTCTAGGACATCACAGTAAGACTGCCACCAACCTTTGCTCTTCTGGAACTCAGTCACCTCTGTCGAAGTCAGCTCATCATCACTCGACATACCTTCATGGTGATCACCTTCTCCTGAATGCTCTCTCACTTGCCGCCTGCAAGTCCTACATTTTGTAATGAACTTAGATGAGTTCTCCTCCCCATGTAGGGCAGAAGGAAGTGTAATGAAAAATAACCCAACTTCAAAAAAATGTACTAAAAGCAAGTTGTGAGAGCAACAGCCCAAGGAAGCATAATTGAGGACCAATAGTTATTCTGTAAATTTGGAAACTGACACAAAAGAGGTTAGAGCAATGTCTCTAATCTCCCCTATGAACCATGTAAAAAGCTTCACTTCACTCCTGGTGAAGAGACTGGCATCCCACCTGGAACACTAAATATCAGCACAGTACTGGACACTGACAGCTTTGGTGTATAGTAAACTACTGAGCTCTCAACAGCCTTTGTCATTTCAGTTCTGGATTACTTGTACGACAATCCACATAAAAATTGTGACACCACCCAACTGCCAGCTGTGATCAAAAAGTTATTGCCATGACACCAAGAATCGTAACAGGCTGCAAAATCAATAGCTTGCATCTCTGCCACAGGAAAATGATATTAAAGTGCTATTGCATAAATACTTTTATACAGTTATTTACATCAATTAGTATTAAAGGTTAACTGCTTCAAGTGGAAGTTCTGATTATACCATGATTCCTCCCTTAGAATTCCAAGGTTCTTGCTGCTTCAAAGTACAGTTATGAGCTGAGGCATCAATGCAACTGAAAAACTTTCAAAGCTCCCAATAACTTTGGAAAAAAAAAATCAGCAGCAGTCTCTGAACAGTGTAATATCCAAAATGTAGTATCTGGCCTACACTGATAGCAGGGAAGGGGCTAGATCCTGCTTCGCTTCACTCACTGCCACAACTACCCACAACAGCAACAATACTGCCTGACTTTTTTTGCTTTCTATACAATAATACAAAAATATAATTCTGTATAAGGTCATAATTTTGTTTATTAAAACAGGACAGAAAAAGCTTCTGTTGTATAGTTTTGTAAAGAGCCTCACTTAAGACTTGTAAATTTAAAATAAAAAGATCTGTTACCATTCAGATTCAAATCAACATGAAGAGAATGTCATTAACAGATAGATGGTTTCCAAGTACTTTGAGTTTTGGAAGGGAAATGCCACTTTTTGTATAATCTCATTTAGTAATCTACAGGCTTATATTCATCACTGCATAAATGACAGACAGCCAGTGTACAGTACATTTATCAGAGGTAAGTGTACACACACATAATACCTACCTTCGATGTTCACACATTTCGAGAAGCTGTGTCTTCTCATCACCTTCCAAACCGCCGTTAGTTGGTTTGTCCGTCCCACCTATCAAAACAACAGAAACAGACAAAAATAAAACTGTATGATTTTTAAGTACCTATTTTCTTGATAAGGAAACACTGATTCTCCTTCTCTTGCTCTTCACTGGGAAATAGCCAAAGAAAAATCAAATGTCCTAATGAAAATTCTTAACAGTCTCGAAAATTCTTAACAGTCAATATTACTTGTTAACTGCATATAGTGCAGTTGTTCTCTTGTAGCAGTTGATGAAAAGGTGAGTTTGATGACATTCTAGTCAATGCTCACTGCTTCCCAATCCTGGAGAAGGAAGTTAGTGCCTCCCACAATAGCTTCTTAGCAGCGTGAAAGGCAAGTGTGGGGACCTACCTTCGTCCTGTATGTCAAAAATGAAACCATGTAATAAATTAGAACAGTTTTGAGGTTTGGTTCCAACATTGTAACAGAAGTTAAATCCCTGATTTACACTATTCAAAATCATCGCATTTAGATTTCAAGACTAGTCAGCTCCCCACTGTCTCCTGTTACCTGAGTGGTCACCAACTGTGTGACTTTAATCACCCCTGCTCTGATTCTTGAGTCCAACACAGAAGCAGAAACAAGAAGTATTTTCTAGTTAGGCCGTTCATTTGTAGCACTATCAGCTGGCCACTGGACTATTATCATATAAGAAAAAATAGCCTTTCCACTATTTTAAAAACAAAAGTGCTGTTAAACACACAAGTATAGTCTCATTTGTAATGAGCTGGAATTTTAATGGCAATTATTATTATGGCACCACCCTTTTCTTCTTAACACCCACTATCAGTCTGCTACACCATTTTACAAAACCATACGTGCTGCTAGCTTTCTCTAATCAGCACTTTATCCTGTGTAGTAAGAACACTGAACCCATACGATTAGTAGTTACCAGAAACTGGTGCATCTGGCCTCCATCTGTTCCCAGCAGCTCCAAGCATATTGCTCTTAGCTTTGCCTAAACATTTTGAAAGGGTTTGGAAGTTGGGCTTGGTTTTTTTAAACAGCAGCAGCTGAAGAATTCACATGGCATACAAACAATACATCGGTGTGGAAAGAAAATACGAGATGAGAAAGTTGTAATACTTTTTCCTACAGTGACACAAAATCCCAAAACAAAACAATTTTGTTTTTGATAAAACCCTTACACAAGGGGGCTTCTTTCTTCATGTCCTTCCCTTCACGCCACTTTCTAGCTCAAAACCTCCATTCTGAGCACACACATAGCCTTAAAAACACTCATGTAAGAGTAATATTGCCAAGTAAACACACTGCTTTTTCATATAGTCACAGAATCCTGCAGCAGCAAGCTTTCTCCCACATAAAACCTACTAGAACACTATGTTTTTATTTTTAAATATTGATGGGAAATTGCTGACTTGAATAACTCAAAATTAATGAAGTATTTGGTCATGTTATGCTCCTTATTAAACCAGAGGAAAAAAAACATCATGGACCTTACTGAGGTGAGGATTCCAACTGAGGTATAGTAGAACACACCTACTGACAATGGGAAGGGGAAAGGAGATCAAATGGGAGAATAAAATACTTCACACAAAAAATTGTATATTCCTGCTCAAAGAGGGAATGTTTCATTAAGAAAATAACTTTTAACTTCATACTAACTTGTCAGATGTCGAATATAAGCAGATTCATTTTTCAGCTCCTCTTGCCTTCGTTTCAATACTGCAATGGCTCGTTGCTGAAGAAGTACATGTACAGCCAATTCTAGCTCATTAATGTATTTCAGCTGAAATACAGTAAACAGCAATCAGATCTTCAATCAAATAAAATGGAAAAAAAAATAAAGAACAAAAACCAGTTTTCAGTACTTGATTAGAACCAAAGTACTACAGATTGAAAAGCATGTTTGGAGTCAGAGTTTTTCAGACTGCCTGTAAGACTGAAAAGCAGCAAACTAAACAACTCATCATGGGACTATCCAAGAGTTCATGCAAAAGGGTTCAACAGGACACTACTGGCACACTTAGCTTGCAGTTTGCTTTTGAGCCACTGGCTGTTACAGAAAATATTCATTAATTCTCCTTAAAGTTACATGGACTCTCAACTGCAATGCAATCAAGTGACATAAATTAGATTTCATATTATTATCTATAGAGGATAACAGCAGTTTACTTTTACTGAGGCCAAACTTTAGGCAACTCCTGCTCTTTTTTAAACACACAAAGCCTGCAGTTCAGGAAACAGATGCAGCCAATAACACAAATTCTCATACAGCTCTGCTAACTCAATCTCAACTCAAACCTAACATTAAATCCTTACTACCTCTCTTATGTAACCCTAAATAAAAGCATTTAGAGAGATCCCAAAAGTGAATTTAAGCACCACCTCTCATTCAACTTCAGCACATGCTAGTTACTACACTTGCAGAAAACTCCCTCCAATAACATTTTTCTTTTTCTGTCCAATAGAACCTATTGAGACCGCAGCTTAAGTCAGTACACCTGTACTAGCTTGATCATCACTTTAGGTCAGGGTGAGGGTTGATTTCCTTTCCCCTATATTTTTTTTCCTGTTACATTAAAATTTCTGCTAAAATTGATTTTGAACTGGGTTGTTCCCCTTATCACTTCCAAACAAAAACCCCTGATTTTTCATTGACAGAATGCACCTTTGTCATCTAAAAAAAAAAAAAAAAAAAAGGAAGAGGAAAACGTACATACTTTTTCATTCAAACAGTTTATCAAGTTTTCTACATATGTTTTCATGGCTCTGTAGAATTTGTAATTCAGAGCTGCATCTGAAGACTTCTCCAACTCCTGCACAGTCATCTTTGAACTTTCAATGTCCTCCATGCATTTTTCATACTCCCTCTGGTGAGCACGGTGCACATCCTGCAATGATGTTATCCTAAAAAAGAGAACCCCAGACAACTAAAACTGTTGCCACCCCTCTTGTCAGCATGTCCATACTAGTTTAATGTAAGTTGCATGGATAGCAGTACCTATATGCATTCACCATGTGCTCACTACTAAATACAAACCAGCTGAGGACCCTTGCTGCTAGTAGGTGATAAAACCCAGGAATCTATGTCTACAGCTGCCACTATTAGGTAGGTAGCACAGAAACGTTTAGATATATTAAAACTCTGCTTCCCCTTGTTTTTTCCCCTCCCTTCCTTACATATCCCAAGTGACTGCTCAGCTTGAGCAAGCCTGTAGATAAGAATCAGACTTATTTCACTCCCTGAAGTAGGAAACACTTCTCAATTAAAATAATTGAACTAAGCTATTGTTCTCTCTTGTGCTAGAAGTTAAAAAAAGATATTTCAGCATTCAGCACCTTAAACACAACTATAAAGTTTACATCAAACAGGCTGCCCCTCTCATTCTTACTATTTTCCGAATAGGTTTCCCACTCTTGATAGCTTTATCCTCATTTTTCTTTTTTGATTCTGTACAGAAATTCCTACTTCATCTAACTCATTCCTTTCAGGTGATTATGGCAAAGAAAGCATACAATTGCACAAAAATCCTTAGTCCAATTTAGTTGCAATTCTTTAAACAAGCAGGTCAATGACAGTCTGTATAAAGCAAAGCATACACACAGAGGGCTCAGTGCAAGTCCACAGTGCACATTTATGTTTCAGCTGTATAATGTTACTTGTCTAAACTTAGCAGAACAGCTGCTTCTTGGTGCTCTCAATGATGACAGGGGATGGCTTACCTTAGGATGCCTGACCCGGCTGTCCTTCTCACACACCCACTTTGAGGTTCCCACTTCCATCCCAGGACACTTCAGCTGCCCATACAGCAGCTGAACTGATAAAGAAAAGTCACAGCCTGGCACATGACTAAAGAAAAAAATCAAGGTAGGTTCTAATCTGCCTAAACAGGCTGTAGAGAATTTACTGCTGCTTTAGGAAATACTGAGCTATTTTTGCAGCTGGTTTAAGAACCACTGTAAGAGGGGTAGGACTGCCAGCTCCATCTGCCCTGGCTGAAGTTTTGCTTGCTGGGCAAACACAACATTGAACCAATGCTCCTGTCAAAAAACAGGAGCAAGCATAAAAAGTTGCTGCCAGCTAAATGAACTTTAGAGAGTAAGTTCTAGTTGATCAAACACCCTCGAGAAGTCCAAATGCTCCCCTACAACAAAGCATTGCCAGGTAAAGTTAAAAATCTGTAGTACTCTACTGGGCATCATAACAGGCATACTACATGTGAAATAACCACTCAAAAAGCCTCCAATACTCTGGGGGAAAAGACTTCAAAACCATCATCTCATTCTGTAACAAAAACTCAGACAACTCAAAAGTTAAGTTCAGAAGAGCAGGATTTACCTTTCAGTCAGTCGCTTCTTCACAATTTCCAAATTGACAGGTGGTAGAGAAACAGAGGGATCAAACTTTGGTTTAGCTGGTTGAGATTTACGCAGGGAAGCATCATCATAAATTTCCTACAAAAATTTTGAGTGTTAATTTTTAATACACCATTTACACAAGTTTTTCATCCATCTATTTATTAGTAATTTAATATTACATTTTCTCATAGTAAACTTTCTGACTCCTCCCCAAATAAATATGAATGCTACCTTCTGACAAAGACAGTGGCAAAAGACAGACTTGTCATTCTGACAACTCAGCTTAACTGTAATTATAACTAAAAAAGGATTCCAGTGAATTTTAGCTCCTAAATTAAAAGCCAATTTGCATTCTAAAGCAGTAGAAGTTTGTATATTAAAATCTAGTCAGAGCACAATCAGTTGAAGCAATGAAGTCCATGACTAACAAGGTCTGCTAGTAAAAAATTGTGCTGAACTGTGAAAAGAGCTCTCAGACTGCCACTCAACAGAAATTCAGCGTAATAAAGTAACTTTCACTTTGTGACTTTTTAGCATTTGTATTATTTGCATATTCTTGCTTTCAAGATCACTTGCATGGCAGCAAAAAAAAAAAACAACAGTGTTCAGACTGTTATTCTCTGCTTTTCACAGTCTTCCATCACGTACATGTACCTGCCTTTGAGGCACACAACAATACCCTGCTTCTGAACAGCTAGACAGAGATTACAGATTTTCATTATCATCTTCCCTTATTTCTAATCATATTTTCCTTGAAGAATCAAGGTACAACTTCCTAAAAACCTGTCTAATGAGAGGGCAGGAAGGAGATATAACAGTACTCCAGACAAGCCCTCTTGCCTATGAAAAAAAATCAACCTCCAGTGATTACAAAAGCATGTGTCACCTGAGAGAGCTTAACAGCTTTCTTTATTTGCTGTTCTTCCCACTTAATTTCCGCTTCATCTTCACTTGATTCATCACTCACAGACACTGGAAGTTAAAACAATCATTATTAGATGTAATTACATCCTTTATTTTTCCATCCCATGTTCTTTTCCCTCTAAAGCAACAATGGTTTTCCCAATCAAGTGGGAAGTGATACATACAAAAACCAGCAGATGAAAAACCTGCAGAAGGAGGACTACTGCAGTATGACGAGCAAACACATCTTGTTTTTATGCTCAAAGCAAATGTGTATAATACATGCAAAGAAGAGTACAAGTACCGGCTATACCACAGTGAGTGACATACACAGCAAACCCTTGAGTGTTTCAAAATGTACACTCTACTACAGATACAAAAATATCTTATTAGGATTAATTAGAATAGCAGAATCAGCTTGTAGTTATGCATTCCTTATAACCCTTATTCAAATAATAAAGTAAACAAGTGCTTTATAAACAAAACTACATTTTTTCCTTTTTCAAGAACAGTCGTCAGTGCAGGGAGAGCACTCAGAAGACCAGACCAACAGCATGAGGCAGGATTTACAGCAACTTTATTCACGTTAAATGCTGTGCCTCCTACAAGGCATTTTTTTTGCAGCCAACAAGGCCAAAAATAATTTTTAAATGTTTCTCAAAGCACCCTGCACTACCACAGTGGTGAGACCTAAAGCAGATTGATGTCCCATATAAACATCAGGCACCAGCTGTACAGCCTTTTGCCAAGGCCCCTGAGGAGCAAAGCCTTGAGCCGCACTCACAGACATCAGCAAAACAAAGCCACAACCACTGTGAGAAATGGCACAAACTCACCCATGTGTTCAGTTATCCTCTGCCTGAGAGTTCTCATTTTAGGAACAAAATTGAGACCCTTCGTATCAGACTCATCTTCACTCTCTAAGTCACTGCTTTCTCTTCTCCGAGAGACCTGATGACTGTTTGACACATCCAATGGAAGATAATCCGCTCGTGTCCTGGCTAAGTGACGCTTCCTCCGAGCAGCCTCAATATGAGCTGCACTGGGGATACTACCTGCATTGAAGAGAAAGAAAATCTAAGCAAAAGACTAAAAGCAACACTCTGTATTGCTCCTAATGTCATCTAATACCAATAATCACCACAGTTCAGGATCACTGTACAATTCTAAACATATTAAGCTTACCACGTTGAATACAAGGAGAGGGAAAAGAAACCTTAAAAAGTGGCTCTCAGTCTAAAAACAAAGCTCAGACTTTTTTCTTTCGAATACATTACTGTTAGCCTGTCCCCCTTTCTTCCATCTCCTAAAAGATCAGGGTTACTAAATGTAGTGAGTTTACAAAGGAATCTCAAGTTTACAAATCAGCACAAATGAGGTTATATTTTAACCTTATGAAGGGAATTATGCATTATTCAACAGGAAATTTTTGCTGCCTTTCTTCCAAAACCAACTGTCATAATTTCTGATCTATTTCCAAAGTCAACACAGACATACAAACATCTGCAACCAAAAATATTGGCAAATCATCACTGTTCTTTCAGAAGGGTAGCCCTGACTCTGCACAAGCAAGATGCCTGCACCTTATATGATTTAAGCCAAGTCAGATTCATCTCACCTACCTTAACACGTACTTCAAACAAAGAATGTTGTAAATTAACTTCCTTTAAAAAATAAAATCCAGGAAACTAACCTGGTGATAAATCCTTCCTCCTCTGTAAAGAGCTGGATTCATTTTCAGAGTCTGTGCTGTTGTAGCCCTCACTTAGTGAAGAATAACTTTCATCCTCCTTCTCTTCCTCTTCTTCATGAGTGCCTTTGGTGTCACCAGTTCTAGGCTCCAACTGACAGATCTCTGTTTTAGGGGGAAAAAAGTGAGATTCATTATTTCAGTTTCAGCTGCTGGAAGCTGATGTGCCATAGCTGGTTACCAGTAACTATTTACACCTTGCTGCAGCACAGACTGGTCTTTATCTATCTCCACTTGTCATCATCAAAACATGTCAAATTTTCCAACAGTCAAAGACAGTAATTTACAAGCCAGTGCTTGTCTCAAATCAAAGCATCTGTGATAGTCCTAAACTACTATGTCCTTCTGAGACACAGAGCACATTTACATGCACCAAAGCAGTTATATCACCTCCCAGACAACAACTGATTAATATCCTGATAGCTCACACCATGTTTGGATTCAACTCCCCAAACTTTATAAACTGCACTTCAAAAGCACTCCTTCATTGTCAATGCTTAAAAAAAAAAGAGTCCTTCTTTAAGCAATAAAAGTTTATGTATGTCTGTCCTGTCTCCGATTATCTTCAAATTCTTTAACACCCTGATTTCTCTTCATCTGCCAATACATCTTCAGTAAATCATCAGATTACTGAACAGAAAGTGCCACCTGTTACAAGAGCATGAGGAATATTTTTATAAATTACTAGGAAAATTTACTATCTCATCTCAATCACAAACTGAATTATTTATCAATCTAATTGATTTTTAACTAACAGTAGCAATTAGGGTGTATCTGCGAATTGACAGCGGTGTAAAAAGGGGAACAGAGGGCAAAAGAACTTTCAAACACACTTGTTTGTAAAACACCCAAACCCCAAATATCCCAACAGAAAACTTAACTATAGTTCAATGCGACTAGGAATACTATCAGAAAAATCATGGCTATTGACTGTATTCAATTAAAATATTCAAATGTTGTAAAAGCACACAGTTTGACAACATAAAGTTGGAGGTTTACATTAAGTTTTATCAAACAAAATCCTGATAAGCTCACATTTTCTCTCAATGCAAATACTTGGATCAAACTGAAAGATATTATGCTGAGGTATACGTTTATCAGAAGTTTATTAATTAATATGTACTACAGGGGTTCTGCATACCCAAGTCTTCCCAAGAACAGCCTCCAAATTCTGATCTCCAAGTTTTACCAAGGTCATATGGAAAATAATTTCAGCACAGAGAGATTATAAACCTGAAAGTAACATTGTCAGTATAATCCTGAGTTCAACTAACAAGTAAAAAACACCCAACAGCAGCATTTGTACCTCACTCTTCTCTTACCCATTTTGAAATATATATTTTCAGGTAAGTATTCCATCAGATATTTAACTGAAAAGAAGTACTTACCTTTGTTTTCTTCAGGCTGTGTCTGTGCAGGCAGGAGGCTCTCCTTCTTCCGAATCCTAAAGGTTACTTCATTGAAGGATGGCTTCTTAATTTTAAAAGCTTGTTCATCTCCTACCCAGATAAAACAAAACGATTCTGATTAACAAAAAGAGCGGTATATGCGCGTATATCCATATATATATATAAACCACACACGATCGCTAGGTGCGCACAGGGTATTTTTTGAACCTCTGGCTCCATTAAGCCTGAACAGTTCCCTGGCCGTACCACTCGTGCCGGCCCTTACCTTCCCGCTCCTCCTCGCTACCGAAGCTCAGCAGCGCCTTTCCCCCCCGCGCCGGCCCGGCCCCGGCGAGGCGCGGCCCTCGG